TGGCTACAATAAATAAATATACAATACAAACATACAAATTATACAATAAATAAATGTCTGTCTGTCTATATGGCACTGCCGCAGGGGTCATTTCGTAGAAAAAGAAGTGCAGGAGCTCATTAGCATAACTCATTTGCATACGTCACACCCCCTGACATCACCGGAAGTGTGTCAGAAGGCAACACTGGACTGTTTTGGATTGCTAGCTCTTGGGAGGGGGGAAACGTGCAGATCTGTCCTCGCAGAGGAGGGAGAGCTTGTACCTGAATAAAACTTGGTATTAAAGGTGCCACTGGACTGTTTTGGGCTGGGGGGCGGCTCTGCAACTTACCTGGCTGCTTCTTGCTCTGACTGAGGTCTCCTGGGAGCAGGGGGTGGGGCTTGTTGCATGTGCCTGCCCCCTGAGTTCTTTACTGCCAGAGCTCCACTCCTGTGAGCTCCTGCAGGAAATGACCCCTGGCACTGTGCTCTCCCCCTCTACAGCACAGTATCCTCCTCTCCCAAATCCAGTCCTCCCCAGGCTCCACCTTCCAAACGTCCAAGAATGTCCCAAGCCAGAGTTGGCAACTCTAGGGGTCTGCGTTCCTGCAGGAAATGACCCCTGGCACTGCGCTCTCCCCCTCTACAGCACGGTATCCTCCTCTCCCAAATCCAGCCCTCCCCAGGCTCCACCTTCCAAATGCCCAAGAACGTCCCAAGCCAGAGTTGGCAACTCTAGGGGAGAAGCACTAAAAGACCCGATGCGATTGACAAAGCAGGCTGCCTACTTTGCCAGACTACACTAAATATGGTACAGTACCTGACCTCTGGGTTAAAAGCACTGAACTGAACACTTCTATAATAGGCGTTAGCCATCCTAATTAATGAACAGGGAGGGCGAAAGTCAGGACCGAAAAAGAATTCAGCAACGACAAAGTACTCAGCTGTAATGGCGTTTCTCCTTGGCAAAGGAAGTCAGCCAATGCCGTGGTTTTAATTCCATTTTCTTTTGATCATTTTGCAGAAAATATAATCAGAACATTATTGCCCAGGACTTAACAAAATCTATATTATACGTGGACAGCCTTTTGAAGGAGACCCAAGTTTATAAACACGGGAGGAGATGAGAAAGCATTGATTTCAATAAATCCTCGGGGTGTTAAATGATGTGTAACAGGCACCCGCTCACGTCAGTCATTCTTCTTTCACTAGCCGCATTAGAAAATGAAATGAGGCACATCTGCAGACATTCACAGCCCTGGTTATACAACGGGGATTACGGCAAGAATTAAAGCTCCACATTCAATCCTCGTCTGGGGAACGGCACACGGCACACAAACGTCCCGCGATAACTGGCTTCTCGGATAAATGCGGCTTTTCCCTTGGCCAGTTTTATGATGTTATTTGAATACGAGGGCGACAGGGAAAACACTGAACAAAATGAAGTTGTTATGCACACAGATGACCAACAGCCTGTTGCTTTATTCCGCTCCCCCAGTAAATTATATCTCTCCTGTTTACACTGAAATAAATCTGAATTTTGATGTAACATTTTAGAGCCCACGAGGTTGAAGGGTCTGACTTAGATCTGGGGAATCCGGGATCGAATCTCCACTCATGCTGTAGAAGCTCACTGGATGAACTCGTGGGCACTCAATGAAATAGCAAGCTGAGCAGTCGGGTTAGAACAGATAAAAGGAAGTACTTCTTCATCCAAAGAGTGATCAACACATGGAATTCACTGCCACAGGAGGTGGTGGCGGCTACAAGCATGGACGGCTTCAAAAGGGAACTGGATAAACATATGGAGCAGAGGTCCATCAAGGTATAGATAGGAACTCTCAGTCTGGGGCAAGTGATGCTCTGTATTCTTGGTGCTTGGGGGGGGCAGCAGTGGGAGAGCTTCTAGTGTCCTGGCCCCACTGCTGGACCTCCTGATTTGTTGTTGTTGTTCAGTC